GTTGCCTGCTTTGTGGAAAGAGAAGAGGTGTGGAAAGAGGTGATGATGATGATGATGACAATGTGGAGAAGGTGGAGGAGTTAGCGAGAGGGTGGTGAAACGAAGAAGAGGCTGACGAAGATGAAGGCGGCGTTGACATTGATGACACGAATGATGGTGATGAGCTAGAAGAGGAGGTGGGAGCAAGTGGATATAGCGGGCAGTTTGCACAAGCACAAGTCTCAACGAAGAAGAAGAAGAACGAGGAGGAGGGAAGAAGAGTGGGAAGAACAACAGAGAAGCTTGGAGCAATGAGGTCGCTATCCTCAGTGCCAGGAGGAGGACGAGGACGAGGTGCGCCCTCTCGTGTGTGTGTGTGTGTGTGTGTGTGCGCGCGCGCGAGAGAGAGAGAGAGAGAAATAGAAGTCGGGGTGGAACACAGACCTTCGCGAACAAACTCCGAGGATGTCGAAGTCGAGGACGTGGAAGTCGGCATGTCGCAGCAGAAGGCGAACAAACTCCACGGCAGTGGATTGCATGTGCAAGGGTGACACAAAGTGCAGCCCTGCTTTTTGGGTGGCAGAGTGGAAAAGTACGGAGTTCGAATTCAAATTTTTGGCACCTCCCTGTTCAATGGCATCTCACAAAGATGCATGCCCCGCCGGAGGGCAAATTGGACAGGCACCATGGGAAATGGGACCGGAGGTCCGGTAGGGGCATTCCGAAAAGTTTGGCCCCTCACTGACAGGGGCCTGCACGAAAGTTCAGAGGCCCCAGGGGCAAATCAGGAAAAATCATCCGTCCAAGGGCAAATCGCAAATAAACGGAAAATTCAGGGGCATTTTGCAAATTTTCCCAAAAAAAAAAGAAGTGGAAAAAAAAAAACCATATGTAAGGATTTGGATACGCTGTTTCCATTTAGATGGAACGGATTCTGTTGCTGCTGCCTAAAAAGAACGGAGCTGAAAAAATAGGCAGGGGATTGACCAGCAGTAACAAAGGAATAGAGAACGGAGCTAAAAATAGCCAGCGGAATTTGAAACGTCAGTTTGCCCCACTTTGCAGCAGCGGGCAGGTTCAGTTTTGCCTTAGCAGTTTTTTTTTTGTTTTTTTTTTTTCGTTTTGCCTTAGCAGTTTTGCCGAAGCAGTCTGACAAAAGAGTGTGCCAACAAAAGAAGAAAAAAAAAGAGGAGCCCTTCAGGACATCCTGTGCCAACAAAAGAAAGAAAAAAAAAGAGGAGTCCTTCAGGACATCCGTTAAAATTGGAACGATACAGAGAATGAAGATTAGCATGGCCCCTGCGCTTTCAAGGATGACACGCATAAATCGAGAAATGGTCCAGATTTCAAAAAAAAAAAAAAAAAAAGAGGAAAAGGAAGAAACAGTTTGCCCCACTGCTGCACTTTTTGCAGCAGTGGGCGGCTTCAGTTTGTGGAAGCAGTCTCCCAAAACAGTTTGCCGACATAAAAAAAAAAGAAAAGGAAAAGCAAAACGAAAAAGAACAGTTGGATTGGAAAGTCTTGCCAGAGAAGGTGATAAGCAGTTGGCTGCACGGTGCAGTGGTATGCGGTGACACTACATTTGCCGGCATGGATGCCATCCCCATTGTTGCATGGTTGTATGGTCATTGTTGTTGCTGGCGTCCATTGTCATCAATGGGGCTCCCATTTTCACACCCCACATGCCGTTGTCACGACATGCAGCATGTCTCTCTCTCTCCTGTTTTTTGTGTGTGAGTGGTGGATGCTGTGGTGAATGTGTGTGTGTGTGTGTGTGAGAGAGAGAGAGAGAGAGAGAGAGAGAGAGATGCTGCCACATCAGCAGACCCACCACATCAAAGGACTGCCACATGAGTAGCCTGCCATGTCATCAGACTGCTGCATCAGCAGGTCACCAGGTCAGTAAACTGCTACATGATTGACCTGCTATATCAGCATCCAGCCACATCAGCTGTTGCCATTCTTCTCTGTCTTCCCTCTCCTACCGCCTGTCCATTCCCAGGTGTTCAGTCCTCTCTCTTGAAGGACGATCAGGAGCAGAAGTGAGGGCATCGGGATGACAATCACAAGTGGCAACGTGGCTTTTTACAAAACGGGGCCTTCCCCTCCGATGAGGACATGAAATTTGACTTGCAAGGGGGCATGTTGCCTTGGCCTACGAGGGCAGAAGGGGGGCATGTTGTGTGGACGTGGATTGCCCCAGGGCAGGAGTCGACTTTTAGCAGCCACCGCAGGCATGGGCTGGGGTGCAGCCTGAGCTGAAGGGGAACCGAAACTGTGCGATCGACTTCTTTATGCCGAAAGGAGCACTTTGCGAACTGCTTTGCAAACTGCAGGGGCACGATCTTCATGACAAGCGGCAATGCGGTGGACAGAGTTTCCTTTTTTGTGCTGGAACGCCTGCAGCAAGAGGAAAGTCTCAGATGCCAGCAGGATGGTGATATGGTTGCGGAGGATTATGATAATGTTGGGGCTGTAGAGGGACTGGCGATGGGGGTCTGTGAGGTGGAGGTACGGGGCAGTGTGCCACGTAGTGCACCGCCAACTGGATCTGGAGGCGCGTGGGCGAGAGGCACTGTTGGAGCCATGGAAGAGCGGAGAGTGAGTCGAATGCGCAGTGATAGCCATGGTATGTCCACGAGCCAGCAGTGGAGCTGTGTTTGTCGAAAACACTCTTTCGATGTGGTCAAGAGCAAGAGTTGGAAAAAGCCTGCAATTTATGCTTCGATCAACAGGCTGCAGGGGGGTGTCTCTTGAAGCTGAATGGATATGAGGTGCTGAGGACCTGGTTTCTCTACAGGGTGCTCAGGACGTTTAGAGTCGCGTGTGACTCCTGTTCGGGACAAGTGGGAGGTCTCGGACGGTATGTAAATAACAAATGTTTGTGGCCGCTCGCTGGCGAACTACATCCTCATATAGTATTCAAGACGACTGTTTATTGTGTGCGAGGATGTGTCAAAGGAGGAGAAGTATGGGGGTGGCGGTGGTGGTTGTCTGGGACAGACGTCTTGAGGGTGTTACGATCACAATGATGTGATTGCCCTTTGAGCTGACTCGTTCGGTCTTAAGCAAGGATGCTGCAGCTGGTTTGAAGGAGGACTCGAAGTTCGAGCTCATCTACTGGATTCCATGCATTACTCACTACTGTCTAGACTTGTTCATCTGCGATCTAGGCAGTAAATTGTGGGTGCAGCCTATGCTTCAGACTGTGAGGAAAGGTGGTCGCCGTGGTAGCTATTGCCAAAGCACCGCAACGAAGTGCATCATACATGTTTGCTTGGTGGAGATTCTTGAGAAGGATGTGCACTGCATCTTTCAGGTGTATGACGATGCGCTCAGGCCGTGAACATTTGTCAAAGGCACCTCCGCTCAGTCCATCTCATCATGCTGGGGCTGTGAACAGAAGGCGGCTTCACTCAGTGGTTCTCATTGCGCTGATGTATCGGGCAATTTGAGGACGGCGACATCCGTGTTGTTGAGCCCTAGGCATGTTGTGTCTCACTTCCGGGATCCAGATCGAGGGAAAGGGGTGTATTCAAGAACTGGAAACTGAAAACCAGCTATAGCAGTGTTCTTGTGCTTCTCGTTGCACGCAGGGAGCCCTCGAGTATACCAAGTGCAAGCAGAACACGTTCAGCTTTCTGTTCCGCTGGGGTGGTTTGGGGATCGAGCTGGCCGTGACACAGGCGTCTGTCATTGACATGGAGCTGGCCTGCTAGCTCCTCGAGCATTGACAGTGCTCTCCAGCTGGATTTTGACATCCCCTGCTTATTGAAACTGGAGGAATGATTGGCGCGTAGAGCGCTCTGCAACTTGATGATGCGACATCCCTTGATGAACGAAGCTGGATCACTGACGAAGAGGAGGAACAAGGTCCACATAGCCGCAGAACAAAGCTGGTTAAAATTTGCTGGAACCTTTGGTGTGCAGGAAAGGGGGAGGGGAGGGAGTTTCACCGTTGACCATTGATTGGGTGGTTGGGATGGAAGCAGGATTGGGAGGGTGGGGAAAGGGATGAGGAGCAGGAGATGAATGCAAACCTTGGCCCCTCTACATCCCCTCCCATAGGACTTGGCGGGGATGCTGGCGTTCACTGGCGTTGGCAAGGTTATTGACCGAGGGAGGGGAGGAGGATGGAGGAGAAACTAGGCGAGGGAGTGGGAGGAGGAGAAGCCCCTGGAGTCGGAGAGGGGGAAGGCGAGGACCAGGAGGAGAGGAGATGAAGGAGATTGGACTCAGATGAGCATTGGACATGGAGGGAGTACATACATCATGCCTATGTTTTGGGGACATGTAGGAGCTTCACGTTCGGGAGGGGACGGAGGAGAGGGAGGAGGAGGAGGAGGAGGAGCATCCTTGGCAGGAGGTGGAGATCCTGGATAGGAAGGCGGATAAGCAGGAGCAGGAGCAGCAGTACAAGGATGTACAGGAGACAAAGTGTGCAGCAAGAGCAGCAGGAAGAGAATGTACAGCCAGGAGCATGAGCAGGCGAAGGAAGAGGATCATCAAGGAGCAGCAGCATGGGGAGCAGGAGCAGCAGCACCAGGGCCAGCAGAAGTAGCAGGACCAAGAATATCATGAACACCACCAGGACCTGCGCCAGGACCTGCACCACAATCAACAGCAGAAGCAGGAGCAACAGGAAGAACATCAGGTGCAGGGGCAGCAGATTCAGGAGAGGCCACATTCTCAACATCACCGGGACCGCCAGCAGCCAATAGGGCTTTAGATGTTATATATATATACGATATATACGATATATATTAGCCCCTCGTTTGTTGTCCTCTTCTCTCTCTCTGCCTACGGTTTTACCGGGCAGTTCTGTTTGTGACGATATATATATATATATATATACATCTACATCTACATCTACATCTACATCTACATCTACAATAATATAAAAACCGCTAACGTCATATCGCACGGCCCAGATTGCGGGCCGGTCACTACCCGCGGACGGCCCAGATCGCCGGCCGATGATAAATTTTTATCATCGGCCTGCGATCTGGGCCGTCCACGGGTGGTGACCGGCCCGCAATCTGGGCAGTGCGATACCGGAACCGGAAGAGGTGCACGGCCCGCCCAAACGGCCCTTCCGCTTTTTCTTTCTTCTTCTTTTTTTCGTTGTTTTTTCGTTCCGCCTGCCCGCCAAATCTGGGCCGTTGTTTTTTCGGCCCGCCCAAATGGCCATCCCGCCTGCCCGCCACTTCTGAACACGCCCCTGCGCCCAGCCCTGAAATCCCCCGCCCACTTTTTCATTAGCGGGTTGTATATGTGCCCGCCATTCGAAGGGGCAGGCTTCTCAATCGGACGCTATGCTGCTACGGCATGCTACGGCAAGCGACGTCACGCGACGGCACACGACGTGCTCATCGTGCTCTCTCTCTCTCTCTCTCTCTCTCTCTCTCTCTCTCTCTCTCTCTCTC